CGCGCCCGCCAACCCCAGCCAGATCCACCGCCGCGACCCCCCGCGCCCGCCGACCCATGCCTGCTTCAAGAACGCCACCGCCGGCGCCCACCAGCGCCCGCCGACGACGACGAATCGCCGCCGCTCGTGAACGTCGCGCCGCTTCGTCGCGCCGCGCCGACGTCGATCGGCGTCGGCGGCGCCTTCTTCGCCGCACGCATGCGCTCGAGCGCGCCCGCGGTCGCGTTCTTGAACCCGTCCTGGATCGACAGGCGCGAGGACCCGCGGCGGTCGATCTGGCTGACGTTCGAGGACACGAACCCGTCCGTGCCTTGCGCCGCGCTCGGGGAGTCGTTCGACCGGAGCGAATCCGACTTGGGCAGCGGATGCGGGGACAGCGACGCGCCCGCGGGGAGGGACGCCGCGTTCGCGGGGAGGGACGCGCGCAGGGTGGCGACCGCCGCCGCCGCGGTGGGGGACGCGCCGTCGCCGCCGCCGGAGAGGCCCTCGGGCGCGGTCGCGTACGCGCTGCCTCCGCCGTCGCCGTCCGTCTCCGAGCTCGCGACGCGCGAGGCGTTCGCCGCGTCGGGGGTGCCGCCGAGGAGGACGGAGCAGTCCTCGTCCGCCTCCGTGGCGTTGCTGAGGAAGGAGAGAGGGGTGGTCCGGGGAGAGAGGCGGTGAGATTCGAGACGAGGGACGGACGCGGCGACCGCGACCGCGCGCGAGGACGAGATCTCGTCTCGCGTCGCTCAACGAGAAGATTCCGTTAGCTCGCCGTCGACCGTCTCGACGCGCGCGCGCGCGCACCTCGCTCGCATCGCGTTCGCCGCGTTCTCGCGCTCGCTCGGGATGGGCGGGCTCGCGGGCATCGGCGAGTTCTCGCACGACTCGGGGAACGCCCACGGATCGGGGTCGCTCGGCATCGTCGCGGCGCGGGAGACGCGAGGCCGCGCCTCGACGAGTGATACGCGGCCCGTGAGCTGTTTCAACGTCCGTTTGAACGAAACGAGAAAAAATGCAGAATGAAATGGGCCGAATCTGTAACCTTTAAGATTTTTAGGGTCTGGTGAAAAGCGACGGCATCGCCGCTCGGCGTCCCTCTTCACACGGCGCACCTCCTCACGAAGCAGGATGGGGCGTATCATCAGGGGTCAGCGCAAGGGTGCGGGGTCGATTTTCACCTCGAACACCTCCAAGCGCAAGGGTGCCGCGAAGCATCGCCAATCGGTACGTCCCCGTCCGCGCACCGCCCGCGGGAAATCCGCGTCTCGCCGTCCTCCGCGCGGGGGTCGGGATCATCGCCCCGCGGACGCGCGTCGCGCGAGCTTCGTCGCGCGCTCGCGCGCGCGGACGTGATCGTCGCGTCGTTCCCGGCGCGCCTCCCGCGCGCGGACGTCGTCGCGACGGATCACGCGCTCGCGCGTCGCCGCTCGCCGGCGCGCGTCCACGGTTTTTTTCTCTCTCGCGCGCGCGCTCGATGCCGCGATGCCGCACCCTCCGAACGCGCCGCTGACGCCCTCGCCCGCGCGCGCTCTCCCCGCAGGATTTCGCCGAGCGTCATGGGTACATTAAGGGTGTCGTCACCGACATCATCCACGACCCCGGACGCGGTGCCCCCCTCGCGAAGGTGCGTCTCGCCGCGTTCGCCGGCCCGCGTCGTCGCGCCTCCTAACCCTAAAACGACCGCGTCGCTGCCAGCATCCATCGTCGCGCGCGCTCGCGTCCGCGCGCCGGACCTCTCGACCGCCGACGATCGCCCGGGTCTGACGTCCTCTCCCCCAACCCCACGCCCTCTCCGCGCGCGTCCGTCCTCTTCTCCGCAGGTGACCTTCCGTCACACCAAGAGGTTCCAGCACCAGAAGGAGCTCTTCGTCGCCGCCGAGGGCACGTACACGGGCCAGTTTCTGTACTGCGGGAAAAAGGCGCAGCTGGTCGTCGGGAACATCCTCCCGATCGGTCAGATGCCGGAGGGTACCGTGATTTGCAACGTCGAGGCGAAGCTCGGCGACCGCGGCGTCCTCGCGAAGGCGTCCGGCGAGTACTGCATCCTCATCTCGCACAACCCGGACACGGGGTTCTCCCGGATCAAGCTCCCGAGCGGGTCGAAGAAGACGATCCCGTCCGGGTGCCGCGCGACGGTCGGTCAGATCGCGGGCGGCGGGAGGTGCGACAAGCCCATGCTCAAGGCTGGCGCCAACTACCACAAGTTCAAGGTGAAGCGCGGTGCCACCTGGCCGAAGGTGCGTGGTGTGGCGATGAACCCGGTTGAGCACCCTCACGGTGGTGGTAACCACCAGCACATCGGGCACGCGTCCACGGTGCGCCGCAACCGCCCGCCCGGCGCGAAGGCTGGTCTCATCGCCGCCCGCCGCACCGGTCGTCTCCGGGGCCAGAAGGGTATCCAGGCTGCGAAGGCGAAGGAGGGCAACTAATTGGAGTGATTGGTGTAGAGTGGTGGAGGGTGCGATTTCGTCTCTTTGCAATTGGAGGAGAGAATCAGATATAATCGGAATCACCGCCTCGCCGCGCCCGTCCGCCTCTCTCTCGCCGGGCACGGCAAAGATTTAATTACCTCCTCTGAGCTAAGTCCGTCTCAGAGGAGGCAGTCTCTTTGCTACATATATCGCGCGCGTTCGCCTCGCCCGGGGCGGGAAAGAACCGCACTCGCGTCCCACCGAGGCGGTCGCGCGCACACCCAACCGCCCGCGCCGCGTTCAACCGTTCTTCTCCGCCCACGCCGGGTCCTCGTATCGATCGCAGTACCGCTTCCACAGGCTCGGGAACCGGTCGAGCTGATGAATCATCGCGTACGGAACCCCGAGCGCGTTCAGCAACCTTCCAGACGCGTCGAATCGCGCGCTCGGGTCGTTCAAGATGTCGTACGCCGCGTCCGCGTCAGCGCCGAACCTCGGCGCGTGCGCGACGAGCGCCGCGGAGTGGTTCATCACGACGACGTCTTCGTTCGGCCTCAACACTCGACGAATGATCCACGCGAGCAAGCCCTGGTCCTCGCCGTTCGACAGACAAGGCACTCTCCGCGTCATCTCGTCGATGAACGCGCCGAGATACCGATCCATCGCGCTCGACCCGCCGGCGACGACGCCGGAGCACACGATGGGTTCGCGCGAGATCGAGTCCAGGAATTCGCGCCCGTAACACCCTTCGACCCACCGGTTGTTATACATCGGAAGGTCCGCGCGCGTTCTCTCCTCCGCGAACGTCGCCGCCTCCGTGAACAACTGCGCGACGTGCGCGTTCGAGGCGTCGATCTGCTCGAACGGATCGCCGAACAGCGCGACGTCGCGGGTGTCCGTGATCATCATCTTCCTAATCCGCCTCGGGTCCCTCGCGAGTTGCTCTCTCAACCAGACGCGAACGACGACGTACCTGACGAGCGCCGCGTTTCCCGCGATCTCGCGAGGCGTCGACGGCGGTATCCTCGCGTCCTCCGGGCGCACCAGACGCAGTTTCGGGTGCGTCTCCATGAGCCTCACGCCGTCTTTCACGTCGCACGTCGCGAACAGCACGAGTCGCGCGTTTTCGTTCGCCGCCGTCGCGTCCTCAAACGCGGCGGCGAGTCGATATAATTCGCGCGGCTCGTACCCCGCGGCGTACCCTACCATGACGTCTAAATCATTCTCATCGTCTCGCTCGCGCGTGGGAAACGACCCCAAGTGCGCGTCGAACCTGTGCGGCTCGGGCGAGTCGTACCCCGAGATCGGCGGTATGCGCCCTTGAGCGTCGTACAGCGGCGGGCGATTGAATCCCAAAGAGACGAAGCGCATCAGGACCGAGAGCGTCGTCGTCGAGCCGTGCTGTTCCCAGAACTCCCTGACGGGCTTGCTCGACCGTTGTTGTATGAGATCGTGATCTCTCTCCAAGCTTTCCCCTTCGTGCTGATGAATGGTCGTCCGCATCCCTCGATACCTATAATTGAAAACGGCGACGGCGTACCCGCGGCCGGCGTGGAAAAGTATCTCCTCCGAGGTCGCGCGCCCGGTGGCCGAGTTATCGAGCCTGTACTTCACCCCGTCGTCGGAATCTACCGCGTCGTCGCTCACGACGTGCTGTCTGAGGAGTTTCGTCGCGTGGTGACGCGTCACCAGATACGCGGCGGCGCCGTAGTCGTTGGAGAACCGCGGGTGCAAACTGACGTGCACCCTCTGCGTGTTGATGAGCGACAGCTGGACGGTGTCGTAGTCGACCGGCAGCGCGTCAAAGAACTCCTCCCACGCGAAGCTCCAGTGCGACGCCTGCTCGATATCCGCGTCGTCCTCCATTATCAGCGCGACGTCCTCGTCCGTGCGCGTCACGAAGTATCGCAGCGCTTTGAGGTGCGATACCGTGCAGCCGATCTCGCCAGGGTGCGCCGCCGCGCCGCCGTGGAGAAGCGTCGTCACGTCCACGCGCCGCGCGTCGTGTCCGCGGACGCGGACGTGGTTCGTCACGTTCCAGCGATCGAACATTCGCTCCATGTGTCCTCGTCGGTCCGCGTCCGCGTCGAGGTTCAGCCACAGCACGAGCGGGAGGCCTCGCAATTTCGCGACGTCCGCGGGGGACTCCTCCGGCGCGGCGTCGGCGGCGCAGCTTCCGCGCGTCGCGTCGCATGACTCGTCCGCGGCGACGACGGTCGCGATCGCGAGGACGAAGAGCAGCGCGAGCGCGCTGATGACCCGCGCCCGCGCCATCCTCGTCGTCCCCGCGTGCGGACGAGAGTGAGTGTGTGTGTGTTTTGTGTGTGTGTTAACAAATCTCGCGACTCGCGTCGGGACGTCGTGACTCGTCGCCGCGCGCCGCACGCGCCCCGGGGTCATGCGCGGGTTCGAATGCTCCAGCGAACGCGCGCGTCTCGTCTGCGTCGTTCCTATCGAGCGCTAGCGAGCGCGGTCATGTCGCGCGAGGAGTGGCCCTCGCTCGGGGACGCGGGTCTCGGAACCCGTCGCGATCGCGATCCTCCCCCGGCGCGAGGGACGCACGTGCGGTTCGTCTTCGGCGACGAGGGACGCGCGCGTCCGCCGCCGCGTCCGCCGCCGCGTCCGCCGCATCCGGCGGCGGCGCCACCGCCGCACGGAGTTCACCACCATCGCCCTCCGCCGCCGCGACCGTATCACGGGCACGGACCGCCGTTCCCGCCGAACCGCGCGCCGTGGCTCCGCCCCGCGTTCGGCGCGCCGTTCGACCGTGGGCATCAACAACGTCATCAGCACGCGGGCGCGGGAGGACGCTTCGGCGACGGCGGCCGCGGCGGCCGCGGCGGCCGCGGCGGCCGAGGCGGCCGCGGCCGAGGCCGCGGCCGCTCGTTCCGAGACGTGGACGACGCCGTGACGCGCGGCGTCCGCGCGCGCCGTTGGGCGCCCGCGACGGCGGCGGCGACGCCGAGCGACGTGCGCGTGATGTCCTACAACCTCCTCGCGGACTCGCACGTGTGGAAGCACCGCGCGGAGCTGTACCGCGGCACGAGAGACGACCTCCTCGCGTGGGCGCCGCGGCTGCGAGGGATCGCGCGCGAGGTGAAGCTCCTCAGACCGGACGTCCTCGGCGTGCAGGAGTGCGAGGATTTCGACGGCGTCTCGAGAGCGCTCGCGAGCGACGGGTACGAGGGTCTGCACGCGCCGCGATCGGGGGAGAAGCTCGACGGAAGCAGCGTGTTCTACGACTCTACTAAGTTCGAGTGCGTCGGGTTCGAGGCGATCGACTTCTCGACGAGCGGGCTGATGCACAACGCCGCGGCGATCGCGCGGTTGCGGCCGATTCGCGGCGACGGCCCGCCGATCGTCGTCGGGTGCGTTCACCTCCTGTTCAACCCGCAGCGAGGGGATAAGAAGCTCGGTCAACTGCGCGTGTTCATCGATCGCGTGGAAGCGAATCGAGCGGCGATGGCGGAGACGTCCGATCGCACGCCGAGGGCGATGCTTCTCGGGGACTTCAACGCGGAGCCGGGGAGCGATTTGTATCGGTTCGTCTCCAGAGGCGTCCTCGACGTGACGCGAGTCAATCGAAGGGAAATGTCCGGGGTTCTCGACGCGGGCGCGCGCGCGTACGATGACGTCGGCATGGACGTCGACGACGACGAAGCCGACGACGACGAGACGCGCGCGTGGGCGAGATGGGAGGAGGAGGAGGCGGCGGGCGTCCGCGGCGGCGGCGGCGGCGCGTCTGAAAACGCCGCCGTTCGCATGAGCGATAACTACTGGGACATGGAAGGCCTGCGCTTAGCGTTAGGCGACGCCGCGGGCGCTGCCCGCGGCGCGGACGCGTCGACCACGGCGCTGTCGAGTACGACGGCGAAGCGACACGACGCGCGTCAAGTCAGGGACATGATGACCGCGCTCGAGGGCAACCGAGGACGCGTCGCGCACTCGATGCGCGGCAAACTGGTCAGCGCGTACGCGAGCGTGAACGGCGGGACGGAGCCTCGAGCGACGTCGTGCCACGGGAAGTTCACCGGGACGGTGGATTACGTGTTCTTAGGCGACGGCGTGCACGCGCGGCGGGTGCTGATGCCTCCGAGCGCGCCGACAAGAGGGATCCCGAACGAGGAGTACCCGAGCGATCACTTCAGCGTCGTCGCGGACGTCTTCTTCGACGAGTAGCGACGATGGACGACGTGCGACGAGTACACGTAGATATGATATTAGGTCTTGTTCCATACACGTCGTGTTTTTGCTACGTATGTTTGATCTCCTAGTGAGACTTGTTGTCAATGTACACCGCGCCGCCGCGCGCTTCACGGGTCGATTTTAAGAAACGACGCCAACGCGTTGTTCGCATCAATTTGCTGGGTCACCTTGGCGCTCATCGCGCTGAAGTGTTCGTTGATCTTCTCAACGTGCGGGATGAGGCTCTTTTCCATAGGGGACCCTCGGAGTTGACCGCTGATCCCGTCCGTTAACATCTCCGCCTGTTGCAGCCACGTCTGCAGCGGGTACAGCTGCGCGTTCGGGTCCTTAGCGTCCACGTCATCCACGCAGCAGTTCTGCGGGAAGATATCGTCAAACTTTCCGATGGTGAAGTCCTCGAGCGGCTGCGACAAGCTGACGACATCGTTCCCGAACCCGAGCTTCCCCTCCCCCCAAATCGCGTCCCCCCCGGGCCCGTGGAACACGGTGTCATCCATGCCTCCGCTCTCGCACGAGCCAAAATTGCTCAAGTCCTGATCCTCCTCCATCGCCCCAGCAGCCCCGACGGTGGCATCGTCGTCGACGGTGGCATCATCGTCATCATCCTCTTCCACCGCGGGCACCTCCCCGAACGCGACGGAGTCGCCCTCCGGCTGCGGAATCTCCACGACGCCCTCTCCCCCCGCAGCCTTCGTCACGCAGAACAAATCTCGCAGCGCGTCCTTCGAGAGGCCAACCTTCCTGAGAGCGGGCTCGTGAATATTGATCTGCCTCTTGTCTCCCTTTAAAAACACGCGCGCGACGTCGACTTGGGACAGCGGCTTCCCCCCAGACGCGCGTTGAAACAGCGCGGCGAAGAATTTGTCCTCGTCCGGGTTTTCGTACCACCACGACCCTTCCTTGAACGTGGCGCCGTACACGCTCGCCAGGCTCTCGCCGATGCGGTTGCGGTACGACAGCTCCATCCACTTGCCTCGCATGTGCCCAAGATCGCAGAAGCGGAGGATCTTCTTCGACCGCGCGTTGATGTTCCTGGAGGTTCGAAATCGAGGGGTACGGTTAGAAACGAGTATCGATACAGTCGTATGCGTAATCACGCGTCCGAAAAAAATCGTCAATGCAAATGCCCATACAACATGGCACCCCAAAAAAAAAGTGGCACCCCGAAATCTCGTAAAGTTTTTCGGGCGAGCGAAGCGGGGGAGAGACGCGCGTCGCGAACGCACCGACGCTTGTCCGCAGCCTTGAGCGACTTCTTCTTCGCCTTCGTGACCTTCGCGGTCGTTATTTTCGCGACGCACGCGACCTTCTTCGACGCGCTCGCCTTCGCGCCCTTCTTCCGAGCGGCCATTTCAACGGGAAACGGGGCGCTTCTTCCGATTCTGAGACGAAACCTTCGCGGGGCTCGCGCGCGCGACGACGCGCGTGACGACGACGCGGTGACGCGCGGGGACGAAGCGACGCGAGACGGCGCTCGCGAGGAGACCGCGCGGCGGGTCCCAGATATTCGGTCTGCGCGCGATGCGCGCGGCGTTGTGACTCGGAGGGGACCGTCTCTGAAAACTTCAGCGAAAAATATTTGCACACGACGAGTCATTCGCGACAGCTGGCATGTTTCCCCACCACTGTGAGCCGAGCGCCGAGGGAGGAGAGCGACCGTGCCGCAGGGTCGCCCGCCGTCATGACCGCGTCCGGGGAGATACCCGGGTACGGGAAAGGGAACCTCCCGCCGAACATCGCGGACGCGGAGGGGTTCCTGGACGAGGTCGAGGACGTCAGCCGCCTGATCGAAGGCTTACACAGCGGGAAGATCAGCGCGGAGTACGTCGACAAGCGGATCGCGGAGAAGGCCGCGGAGGAGGAGACCGCGGCGAAGAAGGAGAAGGAGAATGAAGAAGACGCGGAGAAGCGGAAGTACGAGAACCTTCCGGAGGAGAAGAAGAAGGAGGTCAAGCAAAAGGTGCGCGCGCGCGCGGTATCCGTCGTCCCGCGCGTCGAACGCCGGTCAACGATCGCTCGCGCGGAGTGCCTAAAACTCAAAACGCGCGCGATCCGTCGATCCGTCGCCCGTCGGCCGAACGCCGCCGTCCCCGATCGCGCGCTCACCTCTCCCAACCCTCCCTCCGCGAACAGGTCGACGAGATGATCCGCGAGAAGGAACGCCGCGAGCGCGCGCGCGAGCGGTTCGCCGCGTACCAAGCCGCGAACGGGGACTCGTCGTCGTCGTCGTCGTCCGCGCGGAAAGGCACCGATTACGGCGCGTGGGACCTGTGGACGCCGAGCGACGACGAGGACGACCCGTGGATGAGTTACACGCCGAACAACCCCGCGTTTAAGGCGATGGAGGCGGACATCGACAAGCGGCACGCGCGGCAGGTGGAGCGGCGGCAGACGGCGTATCGAAAGAGAGAGGAAGGGAACGCGTTGTTCAAGGCGGGGCAACACGCGGAGGCGCTGAAGACGTACGAAGCCGGGTTAGACGCGGACAAACGGTCCGTGGAGCTGCACGGGAACGCCGCGATGGCGGCGCTGAAGTGCGCGTGCTTCGTGCAGTGCATCGAGCACTGCGACAAGGCGATCGAAATTTGCGATTTCCTCCTCGAGGACCCGAAGCACGCGACGGCGATCAAGTGCCTGCAACGCCGAGCGACGGCGCGGCTGGCGCTGAAGCACTACATCGACGCGGTGAAGGACCTCACGAAGGCGAAGGAGCGCGACCCGGGGAATAAGGAGATCGCGAAGCAGCTTCTCACCGCGGAGGTGATGTACGACGAGGCGAGGAAAGAAGCGGAGGTCGAGCGCGGGATGCGAAGAGCGGGCGAGGGAAAAGCCGGCGAAGTCGACGGGACGGATTTTAACACCCTGCGGACGCTCGAGTCGCTGTTTAAAACCGTCGGCGCGGAGATTAAGGAAGGCGACGCCGGCGCGCCGTCGGCCTCCACCGCGGTCGACTACGCGAAGCTCGAAAAGCTGTTGGAGAGCTCCGAGGCGTGCCGAGTCTACGCGCGCGCGGGCGAAGGCGTCGGCATCGCGAAGCTCCTGCGCGAGGTCGCGGTCGTCTCGATGGGCAAACCGGGCCACCTCGGTCGCGGGTTAGGCCCGATACGCGCGCTTCGCGCGGCGTGCCTCTCGGAACAAAACGTCGACGCGCTGATGAACATGGACGGTCTGGACATCGTCGTCGGGTTTTTGACCTCGAGTTGGAACGCGGGAAAGCGAGAGATGAGCGTGATGAAAGATTCCCAAGTCGCCGGCGGCGGTGCCGCGAGGAAAGCGTCGTGCGCGGCCGCGTTCCTCCTGCACACGTGCTCCGCGGAGGACGCGCCGCGACGACGAATCGCGAACGCGCTGTCCTCGGACGTGTCCCCGCACGGACCGATCAACGCGTGCGTGGAGATGCTTCGGTTGGCGTCGAACTCGTCGGACGACGTCGGACAACGTCAGACACCGTCGGACGCGGATCGCGTCGTCGCCGCGCACGCGCTGTCGCTGCTCGGGAACTGCGCGCTGGAGACGAAGACGAAGGTGGCGCTGAGGGCGTGCTGCGAGGTCGCGAATACGACGGTCCCGGGGATCATCACTCCGGTGTTGACGTGCGGCGTCTCCGCGCTGTCGGAGAGAGCCGCGGCGTTGTTGGGTAACTTGTGCGGCGACGCGGACATTCGCGGGCAGCTCGCGAACGACGCGCGCGCGATCAAGGCGCTCGTGTCGCTGCTTCCCGCGTCGGACGCGGCGTCGAAGGCGGGCAAAGCGACCGCGGCCGCGACCGCGGCCGGCGGCGGCGTCGCCGGGCTCGGCGGCGCCGCGCTGCCGGCGAAGAAGAGGGACGTCGCCGCGGTCGAGACGACGGCGGCGGCGGCGGCGCCCGTCGGCGAAGTCGACGACGCCGCGACCGTGACGAGCGCGCTCGCGGCGCTCGTCAACGTCCTCGTCGAGCCCGCCGCGCGCGCGTCCGCGGCTAAAGCGAAGGCTGCGACGCACGTCCTCCCCCTCCTCGGCGTGGCGTCGCCTCCGTCGATCCCGGCGAGGGCGGCGGCGGCGTTGGCGCGACTCGCGCGAGAGCCGACGTGCGCCGTCGCGATGCTCGCGAACGACGGCGCGGGCGGCGCCGCCGCGGTCGCCGCGTTCGCGCGATCGATACTCGACGGCGGCGGCGTGAAGAATCTCGACGCGGAGACGGGCGGCGCGCTGGAGTCCGCGGTGAGGGTCCTCGCGGTTCTCGCGTCGGGCGCGTCCGCGGAGGGACGCGTCGCGATGTGCGCGTGCGCGGCTGGCGTGCTCGTGCGCGCGGTGAGCGCGGACGACGCGAGCGACGGCGTCGTCGGGAACGCGGCTCTCGCGCTCGCGGACGTCGCGAAAGAGCCGTCTCTGCTCGCGAAGATCGCGGAGTTGAAACCCGTGACGCCGCTCCTCGCGGCGTGTCACCGGCGCGCGGGCGCGGCTCAGAAAAACGCCGCCATCGCGTGCGCTCGGCTCGCGATTCACCCGCCGATGCTCGAGATCTTGAAAGAGAACAACGGCCTCGAGCTCATTTACCGATACGTCAAACCCTAGCTAGGTACGCCCAGTACGTGTACATACACGTGCAGCATAGGATAGTAGATTTTAAGCGAAGACGCGACGTGTTTCGGTCGTTCGGTGCTCGCATTGATGAAAACGCGCTCGCTCTCCACTCCGGTGAAGTCCCTCCCTCACACCGCGGCGATGGTGCTTCCACCATCCGACGACGCGAGGTACCCCATGCTCCGCAGCAACGTCGCGTGTTCTTTCTCGAACCTCTGCGCGTTTCTCTCCGAGAAGTGCTCCTTCCACGCCCCGGGAGGGAGGAGGTGCGACGACTCCGCGCACCCGCCGCCGTCGCAGTAAATCTCCCCGTCCTCGGGAACGCGCCGCGCTTTCTCTTTCTCCCCATCGACCGCGGCGTCGTCCAAACCGAGCCCGAGCGCTTCCACTTGCGCTCTCCCGCACGCGTTCACGAACGCGTCTAACTCCGCGCCGTCGGACAGACCAAACCACCGACCGAGGAGCTCGAACCCTTCCGGCCGAGCCGCGAGCAAATCTTCGAAGCGCACGAAACGCACGCCGTCGTCCGCCGCCGTCGCGAACGCGCGCATGCTTCGCGCGAACTCGCCGACGGCGTTGTCGTGGCTCCCTTCCAGAGCGCGCCCGTGACCTAAGAACATCCTCTGGAAGTTCAGCGCGAGGGATATCGACGCGGTGAAGCGATCGATCTCGAGGTCGACGCCGTCCTCCGCGGACATCGCGCGAAGACGCGACTGGAACGAGTCGCCGTGGAGATCGTCCCTCGGCAACCGCGCCCACGCCGCGGACGTCTCCAGGTGCTCCAAGTACGCCTGAGCGACGAGGTCGCGCGGGTCGCGAACGACGAAGACCGCGCGGTAGTCGCGCCCGAGCAGTCGCATCGATCGCGGCATCGGGGATTCGAACGTGAACGAGTGCACGTCTTGCCTGAAGTTTTCCTCCGAGCCGCTGCACCACCGCACGCACCGGTCGTCGTTCGTCGAAGCCCCCGCGCCGCTCGCGTCCGTGCCGTTCGCGCCCGCGCCGCCGCACGTGTTCACCTCGAGCGCGTGCAGCGCGGTGCGGAAGAAACGATCCCCCGCGCCCTTGTGCGACAAGTGCACGATCAGAGGGTCGTCGGCGTCGACGACGCCGGCGGCGGTTTCTTCCGCGTCGTTCGCGCCGCCTCGCGCCGCGACCGCGCGCGCCGCGGCGACGTCCTCGACCGCCTCCGCGATCCGCGCGTCGGACCCCGCGATGGGGAGGTACTTCAACTCGAACTCGGACTCGATCATCTCCAAGACGACGTTCGGAACGAGCGCGCGCTTGAGTCCCGCCTCGGTGACCTCCGGCCTGTGCAGTCGATAGTGCTCGAACCCGCCGACGTAGAAAAACGCGAGAAACATCAGCGCGAACGACGCCGCGCGCGCGAGCTTGGACTTGCTCTGCATGAGGAGCACCGCGCACGGCATGACGACGACGACGAAGAGCAGGACCGCGAGGTCGAACTCGAGGGTGTCGCTGTATCGATACATTCTCGCGTCCGCGGACGCGGCGCCGCGCCCGGCCGCGCGGAGGACGGACGGCGGCGGGACCCTCGCCGCTCGAACGCCGCGAGACGGCCCGTTCGCGTCGCCGCGACGACGTCAGCGGCGGCGACGACGACGGCGTCGCGGCGGCGGAGGACGCGCGCGCGCGTGCGCGTCGTTTCCTCGGCGTCGACTCGTCCGCGGGGACGACGCGACGCGACGCGTGCGGCGTGCGCTGCTCTGCTCTGCGCACCGCGCGCGTCTCGACGGCGTCGTCCTGTCGTCGCGGGAACTCCCGAAACGGACGCCCCGCGGCCGTCCATCCGTCCAACGTCCGGTCGCGTCCTAGGAAACGCCGCGAGCGAGCGTGCGAGCGAGCCTCGGAGAAGGCGAGGCGGCGCTGGTGGCGCGTGAGCGGCTTCGAGTCTATCGAGTCCCGAAAAAACGCTGCCAAAGAAACAGAAAACTCGTCGGGCGAGGGTTTCTTCGCGCGACGGTTCCTCGTCGCGCGCACAGCAGCTCGCGCGTCGGGAGACGCGCGCGAGGGTTCAGCGCGCGCATCGCCTCGTCGACGTCATGGTGCGTCTCCTCGCTCGAACCCGCGCGGCGCGTCCGCGTCGCTCGGCGGCGCGAGCCGCGCGCGCGTCGACCTCGCGACCCGCCCTGATTGATGCCTTCGTCGTTTCCTCTCTCAAATTCGCCAGCCCGCGACGCCCTCGCTCCGCCTGACGCCGTCCCCCTCCCGCCCTCGTCGTCCTCCGCGCGCAGGGCAACAGCGCGAACAAGCTCGAGAAGGCGTTCGCCGGGGACATCCCCGACGGCGAGCGGTACTTCGGTCTGGAGAACTTCGGGAACACGTGCTACGCGAACAGCGTCCTGCAGGCGCTGTACTTTTGCCAGCCGTTCCGAGATCGCGTGCTGAGGTACCACGCCGAGCTCGCGAAAGACCACGAGGAGAACCTCCTGACGTGCCTGGGCGAGCTCTTCGCGTCGATCGCGGGGCAGAAGAAGAGGACCGGGGTGTTCGCCCCGAAGAAGTTCATCGCGCGTCTGAAGAAGGACAACGAGCTGTTTCGATCGTTCATGCACCAAGACGCGCACGAGTTTCTGAATTACGTCCTGAACGAGTGCGTGGAGATATTAGAGAAGGAACACCGCGCGGCGCACCCGACGCCCGCGGGCGCGAGCGCGCCGCCGATCACGACGTGGATCCACGACATCTTTCAGGGGCAGCTGACGAACCAGACGCGGTGTCTGTGGTGCGAGAACGTCACGTCGAGGAAGGAGGCGTTTTTAGATCTGAGCCTGGACGTGGAGCAAAACGCGAGCGTCACCTCGTGTCTGCGTACGTTCAGCAGCAACGAAACCTTAGACAGCGCGGATAAGTTCCAGTGCGACGCGTGCGGGGGGTTACAGGAAGCGCACAAGCGGATGCTCGTGAAGACCGCGCCGCCGGTGCTCGCGATGCACCTCAAGCGGTTCAAGTACATCGAGTCGCTCGGTCGCCACAAAAAGCTCATGCATCGCGTCGTGTTCCCGGACGAGCTCAAGCTCAACAACATGGAAGACGATCTCCCGGGGACCCCGGACGCGGCGTACGGCTTGTTCGCCGTCGTCGTCCACGTCGGCAGCGGCCCGAACCACGGCCACTACGTGTGCCTGGTGAAATCGCACGGGCAGTGGCTCACCTACGACGACGACGACGTCCAGCTGGCGGACGCCTCCGCGTTGCAAAACGTCTTCGGGTCGACGCGCGAGCACGGCGGGAGCAACACCGAGCACGGGTACATATTGTTTTACGCGCGGGAGGACGTCGCGGGGGGCGGGATGGGGGGGGTGGGGCTGGGAAGGCCGGGCGTCGCGGGGAGGATGGCCGCCGCGTTGCGGAGCGAGTAGTACCTAAACCCACGCGGACGGGCGCGTTTGTCGGTAAAAATAGCAGGCTTCACGTACGTGTGTGGGCTTGGATTCGATTCGTCGTCGTCTTCTCGTCTTCGCTTCGCTTCGTCGTTCGCGCGCGCGCCGTCGTTCCTCCTACGCGACGGAGGACTTCTTCTCGAGCGTCGTTCCTCCTACGCGACGGAGGACTTCTTCTCGAGCGTCTTCTTCGGCGCGAGGTTCTTGCCGTGACCCGGAATTCTTTTTTCCTTCTTGGGGTCTTTCTTCGGGGCCTTCTTCGGGGCCTTCTTCTTCGGGGCCTTCTTGGGCTTCTTCTTCGCGGGCCTCTTGTTCCGCGCGCAGCCTTCGCACTTGTTGTTGCCGTTGATCAGTGAGTAGGAGCACGGGATGCCGAGGCCTTCGCCACCGCCGCAGTGCTGGCACACGGCGGCGTCGCACGCGTTGCACGCCTGGTACCACTTCCCGCCGGCGTCGTCCACGTACCCCGGGTCTATCAGGGACCCGTGCGCGTCGCAGAGGATGCGGCCGCAGCGAGCGATGCACACTCGGACAGCCGGCGCATCGCAGTTCTCGTACATGCAGATTGGTTTGGCTTTTGGGGGCATGGCGGCTGCTCGGGGCGGCGCGGAGTGAGGAGGTCGTGGCTTTGAAGCGAACGCTATTCCTTTTTTTTGAACTGAAGTGCCCTTCCAGGCACTGCAGAACTTGAGGACGGAGACCTGCTGCAGTGTGAGAGCCCCTTCGCCTTCAGCACTCTGTCGCGCGCGCGACGGCCCGACGCCTTCGCTCCTTCCTCCTCGCCGCCGCCGCCCCCATCCCCCCCCGTCGTCGGCCGACATGGATCGCGGCTCCCGCGCGGCGACCGACGCGCCCGCGCGCGTCACCCTGAGCGCGGCCGCGAGGAAAGGGAAGGACAAGGAGAGCGCGCGCCGAGCGCGACGCAAGGGCTACGCGAGAGGGCTCACGACCGCGAGCTTGCAGTCGTCGTGGCGCGACGCGACCGCGGGCGGCGGGACGATGGTCGAGAACGCGACGAGCGCGCAGACGCGCGCGTTTTTCCTGCGCACGGGGATCCCGGAAGGCGCGTCGTCGTCGTCGTCGTCGTCGTCGTCGTCGT